TGTACTCACCTAGTTGTGCTTGCGGGGGTTGAGCTTTGGCTCTTTGGTCCCGCCTCTCAGCTGTCAGTCAACTTGTGTACAGGTTCCTGAGCCTACTGGGCTCTATCATATCTACATTTGAAACTGTGTATGGAGTCAGCCTCCACCACATCACTGCCTAGTGCATTCCATCTGTTAACTACTCTGACACTGCAAAAGTTCTTTCTAACGTACCCTTGTGGGTACTCAGTTTCCACCTGTGTCCCCTTGTTCGTGTTCAACCCATGCTAAAGAATTTGTCTTGTCCATCCTGTCAATTCTCCTGAGAATTTTGTAGGTGGTTATCAAGTCTTCCCTTCTCTTCTGTCTTCCAGGGACGTGAGTTTCAGCTCCTTTAGCCTTTCCTTGTAGCTCATACCTCTCAGTTCCGGGACGAGTCTGGTGGCATACAGCTGAATCTTTTCAAACTTTGTCTTGTGTTTAACTAGGTATGGACTCCAAGCTGAAGCTGCATATTCCAGGATTGGTCTGACTTAAGTGGTATAGAGGGTCCTGAACGATTCCTTACACAAGTTTCTAAAGGCAGTTCCTATGTTAGCCAACTTAGCATATGCCGTTGATGATATCCTTTTGATATGGGCCTCTGGGGACAGGTTCGGTGTGATATCAACCCCCAGATCTTTCTCTCTATTTGACTCTTGCAGGATTTCACCTCCCAGATGGTACCTTGTGTTCAGCCTTCTCCTCCCTTCGCCTAATTTCATTACTTTACACTTTCCTGAGTTGAACTTTAGTTGCCATTTTCTAGACCATTCCTCCAGCCTGTCCAGGTCCTCCTGTAGTCTCTGTCTATCATCATCTGTCTTGATTCTTCTCATAATTTTTGCATTATCAACAAAGAAAAAAAACACACACACATTTGTGTGTGTATGTGTGTGTGTGTGTGTATGTGTGTGTGTGTGTGTGTGTGTGTGTGTGTGTGTGTGTGTGTGTGTGTGTGTGTGTGTGTGTGTGTGTGTGTGTGTGTGTGTGTGTGTGTGTGTTTGTGTGTGTGTGTGAAAAGGAGCTTAGATGTGGGTGCTTATGAGTGCACAGTATGTGGGTGTACTGCACAAGACTGTACAGGCTGTGGATGATAAGAGGGTGTCGATGCACAATACAACACAGGCTGTGAGTGTACAATACATCACAGCATGTGGGTGTTGTGTGTGGGTGGGGGAGGGGCGGGGATTTAGCCTAAAGTAATGTGTGTGGATCCATCCTTCCATCACTCACAAATCTGAATCCATCAATTTTTAAATAGCGTGGGAAGGCCCCCCAAGTGAAGCTGACAGTATGTGCACATTGCCTCACTGTACACTGTGTGGATGTGTGTACACTGATCGCCTACACTGTACACTGTGTGGATGTGTCTGTGTGTACACTGATCGCCTTAGGAACAGGCTGAGGGTGTAGGGTGTTTTCAATAAAAGAGAAAACACCAAATGGGAAAATCACAATGTATACAAAGGGCCAAAGATGAGCACAGAGAAACTAGGAGAGTGGCAGAGAAGCAGTACGAGAATGCCACTACATAGAAGGCTAAGCCACAGCCAATACCGTTGTATAGTCATAACAAGAGGAAGATGACTGTGAACGACCAGGTGGTCAGACTTAACACGTGGGATGTGTAACAAAAAGGAAGGTGGACACACGGATAATGATAAAGAGGTGTGAAAGGTATTTAACAAAAACTTCCAGCAAGTACTCATGCCGGAACCTGTTTTGCCACTAGAGCTTAGAGCTCAAGCAGAACAGGTACTCTCACAGGAAAACCTCACTGAAATAAGTGACAACAGAATAAATAAAGAAGTAACTACAGGAACTGGATATGACAAAAGCCTTGGGACCAGACAAGATATCGCCGGGGATACTAAAAGAGGCAACCGAAGCATTGTGCAGCCTCCCTGGCTAAATTATTGAATTCCTCTCAACAACTAGGAGAACTTTCTGACTGCTGGAAAACGGCTAACCTGGTGCCAACCCACAAGCAAGGGGGGAAGATGGAAGCCATTAAACTACAGACCTGTATCACTAACAAGTATCGCCCTGCCAGTTGCTATCCAAAGCAGGCTGGTGGAACATTTAGAACAGATCAATTTTGATTTATCAGAAATATCAAAATCGGCGCTGATTTATCAAATGAAAGTCCTGCTTGACAAACATGTTAAGAGTTTTACAATATTATGACAGAAATGTCAATATGTTGGGTGCTGGCTTTGTACGTTTCAAGTCATGCAAACCACTTGTATTTTTTCTGAGTCGACCAATCCATAACAAATACGACGTATTAATACAAGTTAAATCAACGTAATATTGAAGTTTTCTATGCATCGGCCTCGATACTGTAGGTGGGTTGCTTGGGTTAGGCACAATGGTACTCACCTAGCTGTGTTTGCGGGGGTTGAGCTCTGGCTCTTTGATCCCGCCTCTCAACTGTCAATCAACTGGTGTACAGATTCCTGAGCCTATTGGGCTCTATCATATCTACATTTGCTACTGTGTATGGAGTCAGCCTCATACACAGCCCTGGTGGTTATGAACCTGTGAAACAACACCTGTGGCGACACCCTCGTGTTTACCAAACTAAACACAATGGAAAAAAAAACACTGTATGAACAAAAACCAAGTCTGAGCCAAGCATCCGAACACCCAGCTGACTGTGAAAGGTACAGTAATAAATAGTATCTGTCCCTCTGTGTTGAATGAGATGGACTTACTGGCCCACCTGCGTCCCACCTGCCATGTCAGTGGGCCCACGCCACCTGCATTGTGTTGGCGGGTAATTCTTATATCCTGCTTAACATTGGTCGTTTTATGTAGGTGTTTGGAAGTGTGGGGGAGACTGTGAGAGAGGGGCGGAGGTGCAGGCTGGGATGTGTAGGTGGAGGCTGGGATGTGTAGGTGGAGGCTGGGATGTGTAGGTGGAGGCTGGGATGTGTAGGTGGAGTCTGGGATGTGTAGGTGGAGGCTGGGATGTGTAGGTGGAGGCTGGGATGTGTAGGTGGAGGCTGGGATGTGTAGGTGGAGGCTGGGATGTGTAGGTGGAGACTGGGATGTGTAGGTGGAGGCTGGGATGTGTAGGTGGAGGCTGGGATGTGTAGGTGGAGGCTGGGATGTGTAGGTGGAGGCTGGGATGTGTAGGTGGAGGCTGGGATGTGTAGGTGGAGGCTGGGATGTGTAGGTGGAGGCTGGGATGTGTAGGTGGAGGCTGGGATGTGTAGGTGGAGGCTGGGATGTGTAGGTGGAGGCTGGGATGTGTAGGTGGAGGCTGGGATGTGTAGGTGCAGACTGCGATGTGTAGGTGCAGGCTGCGATGTGTAGGTGGAGGCTGGGATGTGTAGGTGGAGGCTGGGATGTGTAGGTGGAGGCTGGGATGTGTAGGTGGAGGCTGGGATGTGTAGGTGGAGGCTGGGCTGTGTAGGTGGAGGCTGGGATGTGTAGGTGGAGGCTGGGATGTGTAGATGGAGGCTGGGCTGTGTAGGTGGAGGCTGGGATGTGTAGGTGGAGGCTGGGATGTGTTGCTGGGGGCTGGGATGTGTAGGTGGAGGCTGGGATGTGTAGGTGGAGGCTGGGATGTGTAGGTGGAGGCTGGGATGTGTAATAGGAAGATTTTTTATATGAAGAAATGTGTGGTGCTACCCCCACCCACCCCCCATTAAATTCCACACATGACAAACACCCACATAAACACACACACACACACACACACACACACACACACACACACACACACACACACACACACACACACACACACACACACACACACACACACACACACAATGGCTCGTTTGACTGGCCGCCAGAGTGCCATTCTCTGAGATCACAATTTAGAGATTTAGTCCCAAGGGCTGAATAGCCCCTTAAAGAGGCTTAGAACTCTTGTATAACGTTAAAAGAACGTACGAATAACATGTGGAGGACATGTGTGTGAACAAGGAAAAAGACTTGGATGAAAATGAAGAAAAATATGTAAACAAAATGGAGAACATTTGTGTAATAAAAAAACACTTACATGACGAAGGAGGTTAAAGTGAATAAGGAGAACTGCGCCGATAACAGAAGACCATTTGGGTAATTTAAGAGAAATAATGTTCGTAACAAGGCAATAACTCCTAACTCAACCTCCTTGGTGAAAGTTGATTCACGAGTCCTTGCTTCAGTTATGCCACCGTTGGCAACACTGCTCACAACGCCACACCACAGTAATCTGTGTGTGTGTCTCCCACATTTTTTCGCTTTATTCTTCACCTATTTTGCATTTAACTAATCCCCCCCCAACGGTATAAATATAATATGCCCAGTTCAGTCCCATTACGGGCTATTCATGCCCGTGCCACCCCTTAAGTAGCTTAATCTTCATCAATCAATCAATCAATACAGTCCCACACACATCAAGTTACAGCCCCGCTCCTGTGCCAGGTAAGTCCACTACGGGCTCACCATAGCCCGTGCTACTTGCCCCGCTCCTGTGCCAGGTAAGTCCACTACGGGCTCACCATAGCCCGTGCTACTTGCCCCGCTCCTGTGCCAGGTAAGTTACGGGCTCGCCATAGCCCGTGCTACTTGGAACTTTTTGTTTCCAGTAGCTGGATCGTAAACAACAACAGGTGATCTGTACAGTTACAGCCAACCTACCTTGAGGTGCTTCCGGGGCTTAGCGTCCCCGCGGCCCGGTCGTCGACCAGGCCTCTTGGTTGCCAGACTGATCAACCAGGCTGTTGGACGCGGCTGCTCGCAGCCTGACGTATGAAGCTCACGGATTTCGATTTTATTTTGCTGCCAAATTAGATTTTTTTTTTGGTGGATTTGGATTCATTTTGTTTTCGGATTTTCAATTATTTCTTGCCAAATTCTTAGTTATTATCATCACCATTATTCTTACTTATCATCACTATTATTCATATCACCATTATTCTTACTCATCATCATCAATATTATTCTTATCAATACCATTATTCTTTATCATCATTATTCTTACTTATCATCATCATTATTCTTACTCATCATCATCACTATTATTCTTATCAATACCATTATTCTTTATCATCATTATTCTTACTTATCATCACTATTACTTATTTATCATCATTATTCTTACTTATCATCATCATTATTCTTGCTTATCATCACCATTATTCTTACTCATCACCATTATTCTTACTATCATCACCATTATTCTTACTCATCATCACCATTATTCTTACTCATCATCACCATTATTCTTACTATCATCACCATTATTCTTACTTATCATCACCATTATTCTTACTTATCATCACCATTATTCTTACTTATCATCACCATTATTCTTACTTATCATCACCATTATTCTTACTTATCATCACCATTATTCTTACTCATCATCACCATTATTCTTACTTATCATCACCATTATTCTTACTCATCATCATTATTCTTACTATCATCATCATTATTCTTACTTATCATCACCATTATTCTTACTCATCATCATCATTATTCTTACTATCATCACCATTATTCTTACTTATCATCACCATTATTCTTACTCATCATCATCATTATTCTTACTATCATCACCATTATTCTTACTCATCATCACCATTATTCTTACTATCACCACCATTATTCTTACTATCATCATCCGTCGTCTTATCCCTTCCCAGTATTGTAGAGTCGTAACGGCTTGACACTTTCTCCTGATAGTTCCCTTCCCTTCTTGCCAAATTTGAAATTTTGTTGTTGGCGGATTTGGATTTTTTTTTTGGCAGAATCGGAACTTCTTTGTTGGCGCATGTGAAAATTTTTGCCGGTGAATTTAGAATTTTTTTGAGAGGATTTCCATTTCGAAATCTAAATTTAAACACCCTCATACTGTTACGTAGTATCCTCCCTCACGATAGCAGCCACATAGTAAGGACTGAGGATTTAAATGCAATGTTGTTGTTATAGATTCAGCTACTCGGAACAAGTTCCAAGTAGCACGGGCTATGGTGAGCCCGTAACTTACCTGGCACAGGAGCGGGGCAAGTAGCACGGTTTATGGTTAGCCTGTGGGGCAGGAACTGTGCTTTGTTTAAATGCAAGCACAGTGCGCATTATATTCTTTCACGACCAAAGATCACATGCACTCCAAAAAATATACCACTTAAGGGCTATTCATTGCCGTGCCACCTCTTGTAGTGGCTTAATCTTAGTAATCAATCAACTCGTCTTGTTTCCCTTGTGGGGCTAATTTGTGTTGTTTTTTCTTAGTTTTAGGACAATCTAACCTCAGAATATGCCAGTCTGGTCCTGGTCTTTGGTAGGCAATGGTTGGGTCTTGGAGGTCTTCTGTATGATGTGAAGGGAAGGGGGGGGCGTGCCAAGGCTTGTCAGTTACAAGAGTTAATATGTTTTAGTTCAATTATACCCGTTTGTTATAACTGTCTGCTTGTCTATGTATAAGCAAAATTACAGCCCTCGGAAGCTTTCGTGAATGTCCCAAAGTATCGTTATGAGACTCAACCCAACCCAACTGGGAATGTAACAGCATGACGGTATTTGATTGACTACCATGTAAGAGATAAGCATCATGATTCAAGAGGAAAATAAGGGTGAGGCTCCTCTTCACAGTGTGCTAGGAAGGAGTCTGGTGAATTGAAGCTCTATCCTAGTTTTGGCAGTTGAAGGCGAGAACATGCAAAACAGTAGTAGTGGTCTACACCCTCAGCTAACAACCTAGGAACCTGGATTCAATTCCCGGGCAGAACAATAACAGTTGAACACGTTTTCCCTGATGCATCTGTTCACCTAGAAACCCCAAGATTTAGGCAACGTTTTGAGACAGATCCTGGGGAAGGTCTGTAGTTAGCCTTTGGGGGACCTTGATAAGTACAGACTTCCTGTCCCAACAACAGGAATTATATATATATTAGTTGGGTTTCCAAGATACTGCTGTTGTTGAGACTTTGCTAGCACTTCTAGCCATGTTGGTATCACGTCTAGGGCACGATCTCATCATAAGACAATCATCTCGCAAGCAAAGAAGAGGATACCTCTTTTTCCTGTCATAAAAGAGTAAGTGTGTAGACCCTGAATGGATTGGGAATTTTGTGCCAACTTAGCATCCGATGACATGGCCTGAAATGTTAGTGTTTACTTACTGCAATACCTGTGAGGAGTACTGGATTTACTGTTACATTGAACTCCTGTGCTATTGAAAAACAAAAATATAAAACTGGAAACTGAATATAAGCCAAATTACACCATAGAATGGTAAAATATAAAAGATTTGAGAGCACTGTAATTGTGCTGGAAGATCTTATTTTGAAAAGAGTACAATGAAGTAGGTCATAATTACAAGAAAAATGACAGGTTGGATAACAAGAACATTTCATACAAGAGATGCCACACCAGTGATGAAACTTTTCATGACACTAATGCTCTCTATGGTGAAATATTGTTGCACAACAGCAGTTCCATTCAAAGCTAGAGAAATCTGGAGAACATGCAAAGATCCTTTACTGTTAGAATCCACTCAAAAAAATCTAAATTATTGGGACTGTTTAAAAACTTTAGATCCGTATTCTCTAAAGCGCAAGCATTAAAGATACATAATAATTTACACTTGGAAAATATTAGGAATGACAGGTTCCAAATCTGCACATAGAAATACCACCACATAAGACCAGGAGGTATGGTAGTATGGAAAATAGCTCTGTTGAAAAGCAGAGGTGCAGTAGGTATGCTGAGAGAGAACTCTATCAACATCAAAGACCGAAGACTTTTCAACACTCCCCATAAACACATGGGGCATAAATGGCCAACCTTTTGCAGTGTTCAAGAGAAGTCAATGAGCACCTCTCACCTCTGAAGGATACCTGATCAACCAGACTGTAATTCATACATTAGGTTGCAAGCAGCCATGTCTAACAGCCTGGTCTCTAACCACACTGCAGGAACATTGATCCTTGGTACCAACCCCATGTAACACCCCTGGAATTGTAACCCCCCTAAAATGTACCACTATAATGGAACACTACTTATCCTGAGTAACACTTCCTCATCGGTTGCACTTAATAACACTGTTATGAGCTGACATATGATGGTTACACCGGAACCAAAGGTACACTGCCAATAAGGAAATGCTAACACAAGGATTAAATACGCTGCCACCATCTGCCTTTGACCATTGAAACTATATCAAGCAACGAGGCAAGAAACATTGCTTGACTAGGAGAGTACTTTCTATGACTGTCATTAATTTTGAAAACGGTTGTCAGCCACTATATCCAAAAGGCTAAGAGGATTCAACAATTGACACAGACGGGAAATTTAACGTAAGTTTATTGAGACCAAAATTATGTCAATCACCAATTATAAATCCTATCCTAACACTGGCAAAAAGTTAAGAACTTTGGACATGGAACAAAAACTCAGAGATCACACACATTACCTTAAGCTATCTGTCTCTCCCTGGCTGAGATGTTCTTCACAGCCCCGCTTTCGATCCCGGTGTACCGCACTCTCCCCTTCCTATGTTCCTACAGGCCCTCTATATACAACCCCCCACAGGGGGGAGGGGGAGATCTGCTGTTGCTACCCACCAAAAGTGTACAAACACTCAAGAAATATTTCAATAAGCTTGTTTGACATTCACCATACACTCTGCAAGAGAGGAGTTATTAATTACGTGTGTGACTGACCTCTGACCTGGCCAAAAGGGGGAGATCCAGGGATGTTTACACATAAGAATCTGGAGTCTAATTTCCTTGCATGAAATATTACATACTTGAAACTATGCTGACTAAGACTAACCCAGGAATTTTTAATCAATATACAAGATAAACCGGAGGTCATCTGGGCTGACCTCTTGGAGAAGGCTTCCCTGGGTGTGAACTCTAAGGGGGGGGGGAGGTCCTGGGTGTTACACCCAGGTAACGACTTGATAATGTCCCAGGACAGACTGAAACGTCGTCTCCTCACCTTCTGGTGTGTCATTTGGTCATCATATCTTCAGCCACGTTATTGTGAGTCTGCAACCTAAGGAAACCGCAAGACACGGTAATAAATTGGAACCATCGCCAGTAACTAATTCATCATGTGTCCACAATGAGCCAAATCATCACATTCAATCTCATGTGTGGGTTGTATTATTTCAGCCACATTATTGTGGCATAATCTGTATAACAAGGAAAGTAAAAGTAATTCTAGAATTTATTCTTTTCGAGCACTAACAGCTAAATCTTAATTTTTTGAATTTCATAAAACTTTACCACCATACAGACCAATCAGCAATGTTTCATTAGTCTATAAATGTCCTAATATTAATTCCACTATAAATATTCTCCAAAGAGTTGGCAAGTGAAAGTTTTTGTAACTATATACATTTATTTTATCTCAACTTTGATATTTACATTCCTAAAAAGACCAGCTGTTTGTTTTATCATTGGAAAAGTATCAATAAACTTAATTTCCCCCTTAATAAACATTTCTCTATGTTAAGAATTGAAACAAAATTAATATCATTCAATGAAAATTAACAATTACTATACAATGCCTTTCCTAATGGTTGACACATTATGAATAAACTATACAAAACACCAGAATTATTAATTGAATTTTGGTGGTAGACCATAAACAAAATGTCTTTCCTCATACTAGATGGCTATTGACGCAAGGTTTAAAGTATTAAAGTACAATATGTGAAAAACTATTTCCCCCCCAAGTGAAAACCCAACATATCTTCATAAGACACCGGAAAAGATTAGACAAGTTTGTCACAACTTGTGCAAGTATAAGGAATGGACACAAAAGGCAATGTCTTTAGTCCAGTTCTTCATGTGCATCTTTTTGTGCCTTCCTCTTGGCTCGCTCCAGAAGACGCCGTTCACGCTCGTGCTCCTTCATTCTCAACACATAACTGAGAGTAAATATTAATTTACAATCAAATTTTACAGTGATTAAATTATTACAATTTGAGTACACATTAAAGTCCACAATACTTGGTAGATGCATTAAGTCAAGAGTATTACAGACAAAATTATGAAAGAATAAATGCACTGTGCTGGTGACCCTAAAAAAAATCATCCTCACTTTCTAAACTTTGATTACAAATGAACCTTTAGGAACACCATACCTGGATTTTCCAATTCCACAGAGCAAGAGCTGTTTGTAAATCCATTATATTGTGCAGTACAATAGCTTGAAGAGCAAATCTACTAATGCAAGCCATGACTTCATTGTTAACAGGTACACAAGTACATATTGTAATAATGCTCGAGTGGTGTACAGTACAGTTGAACCCATGTTATCTGCTTTTCCAGATTCTTGGATTATCTGTCCATAGAAATATCTTGTTCCCTATCCTTATACTATATTGTATACTGGATAGATGTTCAGTTAATAGGGGTCTATACCCATTAACTGGGAAGTCACTGCACCACCAAGAAAAAGATGTAAACTAAATAAAATTATCCAAGCCGTCTCAAAATTGTCAAATAAGGAAGGAATTCAATGTTTATCAGCAAAAGCATTTCATAAATGACATGTAAAATGATGTGTACGAGTGCAAAATATATATTGTGAATCACCAAAATGAAGCAGGCTCGAGTTTGTGGCGTCCAACAACCCTCACATACACCTGTTAACATTCGTGTTGGACCATATTAGCGCTGTGCCATCCTAAGTAACATGAAAGATAGTAGAAATAGAATGCCTGTCTGCAAAACAATCATAAATAAAGTTTATCATGTATATATGCTGTACTGCACAGTATACTGTATATCCTAATGAGGTGAAGAATGGTAGTAAGGTTACTGCCCTCCAACATTCCCTAAGATCAAGATAAAAATATTATCAAAGTACAGCAAACTATTCACTGATTTATGTTGGCTAGAATGGGAAATTTGCATCACAAAGGCAGTGTTGGTAGCTTGGCATTTCATTACCCCACCTGTCGGCCAGTTCCACTAATAGTGTCATTAACCAGCACTCCATATTGTTCTGCCTCCTTCACCGGGTTATATCAAGCCATTCAAACTATTTTCTCAAAATGATAAACATAATAAATACATAGATTTCTAATAGTACAGTAGCAGGAAATTTATGAAATACTTGAGTGCATTTTGGTCGTGATGTACAGATACATAAACCCTAAATATGTTCTATGTAATTTTTCTGAATTTTCTAGGTCAAAAACCTAGCCATGCTATTTCACCTTCACTTCATTTAAAAACTTTTTTTATGTTTTTTATTGCTAGAATTATTTTTTTTTTCTTTTTAAGTAAATGTGTGGGATGAGGAGGGCCATAACTGCCTCTGAGCATTGGTTAATGAAATTTTAGCTCAGTTTTATCATAGATGCTTTAAGTTTGAAGTCAATATGGGTAAGCATTATCCAGATTAAGAACAACATTTGTAAGTTTTCATTTGATCTACACTGTTTAATAATGAAAAACTATAGTTTTGTAACCATATATACATTTGTATATACTGTAAATATAAAGTGTTTTAAAGTTAAAATCCATGTTCTGAGACATGATGAATTCTTGACTAATTGTGGACACAGTTTATACTACATTTTTCAGTACTGTAACTTATTTTACAATAGCAATACAAATTGTAATTATGAGATATTAAAACCAACATCTCTCTGATGGCTGTGACTGCCAAAAATGTTACAATATTGTAAGGAATGTTTCTCATAAGTATGGAGCTGTTGATATTATGTGTGTGTGTGAATGTTTTGAGTACGAAGGGTCAAAGGTCTCAGTAGTACAGTTGGGTTCATTCTCAACTCGCACACAGGAATCCTAGATTCAAGCCCTGGGTGAGGAAGAAATGGTTGAGCATGTTTCCTTTCACCTAATGCCTCTGTTGACCTACCAGTAAATAAATACCCAAGGGTCAGTCAACTCATATGGTGTTGCATCCCTGAGGGAACTACTCCCCCAGTAGTTCCACCTTGGGGGAGCTCGATATAAGTAACATTATTACATATATATATATATATATATATATATATATATGTCGTACCTAGTAGCCAGAACGCACTTCTCAGCCTACTATGCAAGGCCCAATTTGCCTAATAAGCCAAGTTTTCATGAATTAATTGTTTTTCGACTACCTAACCTACCTAACCTAACCTAACCTAACTTTTTTGGCTACCTAACCAAACCTAACCTATAAAGATAGGTTAGGTTAGGTTAGGTAGGGTTGGTTAGGTTCGGTCATATATCTACGTTAATTTTAACTCCAATAAAAAAAAAATGACCTCATACATAATGAAATGGGTAGCTTTATCATTTCATAAGAAAAAAATTAGAAAAAATATATTAATTCAGGAAAACTTGGCTTATAAGGCAAATCGGGCCTTGAATAGTATGCCAAAAAGTGAGTTCTGGCTACTAGGTACGACATATATATATATATATATATATATATATATATATATATATATATGTTACTTATATCGTATATATATCCTGTGTATATATATATATATATATATATACACAGGCTTCCAGCCCTGACAAAATAAATTATTATTATATTTGAACACAAATGTTAGTGGAATATGACAATAATGCAAATGTAGAGTATATCAGTTATATGACTGATGCCTTCATATCCATGTACATAATCTCCAAAAAGAACTTTGATTAGCTGACCTCTACAGTAATATTAGTTAATATATTTGTAAATAGAACTCATTCAACTTACTCTTCATATTCACAGTTAAGGTATTCGTGCTTTTCGTGTGCACACTTGTAAACTAATGGCCATTCTCTTTCCCGACATGCTCGGTTCTTGATGGCCAGGTGAGCACAATAGTCCCGCTTGTCGAGCGGAAGCTGGACGGACTCCATTTCTTCCAAAGTTGCCAACATTACTGTTAATTTAATTACAGCATTAATATTTTGAACATTGCAATATACAATATATAAATACAGTTTATGAACATCTGAGACCCAAAGTAACCGGCTGTACTCTAGTGTTATAAAATATAAAAGCCTAACAAAAAAGCTAATACAGAGAACAGTCTCACATGTTTTGTATCAATTCCCCTTGGATAATAAACCAATTATCACTGGAGATGGTATTCTAGTGCTGCTACTAGCACTAAATTTAATAGGATTTATCAATAGGAACAAGCCAAGCAAACAAGATACACAAACCAATATACAGTACAGTACAGTACCTGTACTTTAATTTACCAAGAAAATATTGAGGCCAGACAATAGATTTGAACTACAGTATATTACTATCCCCACCCCTGTGCTTCTGGTAGCAGAGGGACAACTGCAGAATGCTACAGCGAATGCCATCTCTTCCACGGGCCATCCTTCAGGTGTGCCAACTGCCTGGATGCTGCATTATCTTCATGGAGGGCTGACCTGGCTTGCATCTCCACGGATTTCTTGTCAAGATGCAAGTTTTGGAAGCTGCATGATACATTGTATACAGGTATCTTTATTTACAAGGATGGCTCTTTTACATTCTCTCCAAGCCAACTTTGATGCTAGTTTACCCTGATCCCTTATTCTAACCAGACATGTCTCCTCTCCACAAACCATACCAGCCTAGCTGGAAATTCAATAATAATAATAATAATAGTAATAATAAATCACACAGAAATCACATTGTGATATATATATCAATGAGAAAATCCACTAGGACTATATGTGGGCGTGAACCTACAAATAAATTGATATACTCGGACAAATATATAAAGTTATTACTATGAATAAAGAATAAATTATATTTATTATATATATTATGTTAATGTGATTTCTGTGTGTTTCTGAAGTTGGGGCGTAAGGTGTAGAACCACTTTGCCCTTCCACTCGAGTGCTTGTGGGTCATACGTAAAAACTTGAACTGGCTTCAGTAGGGGCCTCCAGACTTCCTGTGATTTTAGGAGAAATCCGGTTGTATGACTTTTACAAGTCAGCAGTGGTCTAGTGGTCAAGTACGCAACTGGCAATGCCAGGGTCGTAGGTTCTTGCCCACCTGTAGTCTTAGTGGATTTTCTCATTAATAATAATTATTCAACATGTCAAGGGACAGGCAGCCAGTGTATGCATACATGTTAGGCTTATAGTGAGGACCCCTCCCCCCACCTTAAGGTCAAACTACAGACCCTACCCAGGATACAACCCCACAACAAGCTGACTATCTCCAGGATACCTATTTACTGCTAAGTGAACAGGCCCACTAGGTGATAAGAAAGGCACCCAATCATTTCTGTCCTGCCTGGGATTCAAATCAGAAATCCCCAACTAATGTTAATTAAACTGGCACTCCGCCTCTTCATGCTTATTCATCACGTACCACCACTTGGTTTGAATATACAAAAGAAGCTACTTCACTATGTCCGCAATAAAGGAGGGATGATTTTCTCCAATGGGTTGTGTCAGACCTTGGCACCTGAGAAAATGAAATAGCTGATGCAACTGCTTCATAGGCATACCCACTTACAGCCCCATTAATGACCCTCAGTATAGACATATGGTAGCTTTTTTCTCCACCTCATGCGAGAGAATCGGGCTGCCTGCATCTACCTGACTTAAAAAGGCCTCTGACAGTCCCACACAAGACTTCTAGAATGTAAAATACAAAGAAGGGATGACAGATTTATCAACATTCAGAAAAGGAATGCTCTCAACTCATCCAAGGCACTCTGTAGTGCTGATCAGGATGAACTCAACATGCCAGTGAGCAAGAAACAGGGATCATGTGTGTGATAAGAGCATTTACCTATCTACATATTCTTCATACCCTTTTGAATTGACAATTGTTTTGAATAGTTAAAAGCCAAAAGTTATGCTGTTTTACATAATCGTTCCTACTCTTTAAACAGACCTGTTACAGCTTAGCCTAACATAACATATTGTTTGTATTTTAACTGTTTGCAAACTGATGTCATAGATTTAGCTCTTGGGACCATTTTGGATACTTCTCGTTTTGGCTGTATCCAACTGTCGACCCTTACTACCAGTGTGGCTCATACAGCCCAGTATCATCGCAGTGGTACGCTAAAGCTGTACGTAAAAATTTCATCTAAGCTTATTTTTTAATTGTATAAATCGTGTGTTGTTAGATTAAACAGTGTTAGTGTTAGCTTAGACTGTGTTAGGTTTGGTTAGGTTAAATAAGACAAGGATAGGTAGGGATTTAAGGATAATTTTAAAATCCATTAGCATTACTGCCTTGATGTCTCAATTACTTCATCGTCCCAGCCCACAACAAACTATATAACACAGTTCCGTAAAACTGTTTCCCAAAAGTATGCTTAATACAACAATAATCGTATATAAAGCGTTATAAAAGGTTTGATGGAGAGACATTAGTGATGGCTGACCTCTTTCCTTCCTGCCCTCAGGGAAGCCATAGAGCGGGTCGAAGGTCGGGCCCTTGGTGTAGTCCGGCGTGATGGCCGGGTCCGCCAGGTACTGAGAGAATATGTGGCCCATCTTGCTTGCTAATACCCACCAGGAGACCCACCTCTCTACTCCTCCACCGGACCTCAGGCTCCACCGGACTCCTGGCGGCCGCTCCGGCAACTGAGCCTCAACTGAACAAACACATGCGCAATATTAGTTAATTTCGCCACTACGTACTCCTGTATGGCTGTTATTATATCACAATTAACTTACCAATAATTGATTATCATGTTCCTTGACTTAAATCTCCGTAATTATTGTTCTTTGTGGCTGTCAAGTACTGAATGTTTCAGACTCGAATGTTGGCGTTTGTTTACGAATGTTGTCAAGCAAAATGTAAATAAACAATGTTTCCTGAGCACTAGTGAGGGGAGGTTTCCTGAGCAGTAGTGAGGGGAACTCTCCTGAGCAGTTGTGAGGGGAAGTCTGCTGAGCAGTAGCGAGGGAAACTCTCCTCAGCATTTGTGAGGGGGAACTCTCCTGAGCAGTTGTCAGGGGAAGTCTGCTGAGCAGTAGTGAGGGGAACTCTACTGAGCAGTTGTCAGGGGAAGTCTGATGAGCAATATTGAGGGGAGGTCTCCTGAGCAGTAGTGAGAGGATGTCTGAGCAGGAGTGAGAGATGGTCTCCTGAGGTCTACAGCGCCATCCTTCACAATTATTGACACCACAATGAACAATTACGAAACTATGCAAGCAATTGGCAGAGGAGCTTACGGGTAAATTCAAGTGGCGGTGGCTCTAGGGATAAAAGTAGATTAATTCTGTTCATTGTTAGAATTTCTGGAAAAATAAGGGGGAGGGTTATCTTTGACAAGCCGCTGGCTTAATGCCCTCGTTATGGCAACTAAATACTGTAGACGGTGGCTCTCTGGTAAATTCAGTATTGGGACTAGCCACCCCTTCCAGTGTGCATCACTATTATAGACCTATGTTACTGAGTCTTCCTGGCTTGGCACCTTCTTTTGGTAGTTACTTTATGGATTTACTAGGCTTGTTTATTATTGGTTAGGTAGTACAGTATATTATGTTAGACTATGTTAGGATATGTTGGATTAGTATTATTTTCTTTAAGGAAATACAATATTATGTAAGGTTTGTGTAAGATGTCAGGTTAGTATAATATTCTCAGTCAGGAGTTAGTTGATCTAAAACCCCCAATGAATAGCTTATTACACTTATCAAAGTCTTCCGTAGCCAAATGAAAAGCTGTTTTATGTAGTTATGAAATTCAGTTACTTGTTACATCAGCTGGTACTTAAATTAAGTGATGCGTGTATGATTTTATGCACAACATACAGTTTGTAACATTTTGCATTATTTGGAATGCATGTGTAATCAATTAGGCAATGTACCATATTACATGGAATAGGTGTGTAATCAGTTAGGATATGTATTATATTATTGGAACGGACAAATAGTGACCTTTATTATGAAGTGAAAACCTATATGAACCTTAAACCTTCCTATCCACAGGACTAAGAGTACATCAGATATGTGTCGATGAGGCATGGCACTATTTGCATACCCTTGATAAAAACACATCTCCTCTGCCACCCCAGTTATTTACATGACTATGATTTTATAATAAAGTTCAGTTTTTCTCTTTCCAACTTGATGTATAATGCATAATTATGTTCACTACTGCTACTATGGCAATACTGATAAGTTGAGTAAATATGATCTTGTGAATACTTTTTGGCACATATACAATATTACACACTGGTAGGTTAGTTCTTTTTTTAATACATAAAAATAACTCCAAGATATCTTGTGTTTTATTAAGAAAAGGCTCATACAAGTACAGTATAGATAGAAATTGCCTCATTTTCAATGTATGATTTCCAACTAGCTACACTTTTCTGCACTGTTAAGTTAAGTTGGACTAGTGAAGTTTCCTTAGTTTACATAAGAAGAGTGATGGAAGTGGGGGTGTCACATATGGCCTATATGAGCATACAAATGTAAAATTGATGGATACTCAGACCAAATTTGGCTAACAAGAGCATGTTTAAGAGTTGTAATTCAAAGGAAATGCATAAAATCAATGAAATTGGATGTCATAATTAAGATTTCTTAGTAAATATTATCTATTCTCACTTATTAACTTTTTATTCAAATACTCAGATATATTCAGAATTTTTATGCAAACATCAAGATGTGATTACAGTGCTGTATTTAGAAATCTGTCTTAACCTGCACGTTAATGGTAAAGAATGTCTAGCAATTTTCTATGTAAAATTATATTGCTTCTTTGAGGTACAGTCCAAATATAAGTGAAATACTGTTGTGTAATATTGAACATGCATTCTGATCAGAGAATGGAATATAATCTGAGTACTTTTATCCACAGAAATGTGTATCTGTACCGACGTTTGTCCGACCACAAGCAAGTGGTCATTAAGAAGATACCACTTGAATCTATAACTAAAGTAGAATGTGAGGTAGGTAATTTGGCATCTGTAGTACTAATATGCACTACCACATATGCAAACTGTGAGCAAATGACTGTTGACAATTAGTAAAAAATTTTTATGATAGTTACAAATCTATAAAAATAAATAAAGCATGTGAGAACCTTGGTCCAGGTACAGGTATATGTGCTATGTTATCTTGAGATGATTTCGGGGCTTAGCGTCCCCGAGGCCCGGTCCTCGACCAGGCCTCCTGTTTGTTACACATCCCCAGGAAGCAGCCCGTAGCAGCCATCCAATTTCCAGGTACCTATTTACTGCTAGGTTAACAGGAGCATAAGGGTGAAAGAAACTCTACCTATTTGTTTCCGCCTCCGCTTGGGATCAAACCCGGAACCTTAGGACTATGAATCCTGTGTGCTGTCTACTCAGCCGTCAGGCCCCTCTGCTATACTGAGCTTTTGTCCAAGCATAGCTAACTTTCTGTTAACTTCTTCAAAGGGCTTCAATTTGTAGCAATTTGTTTTTCTATCATTTTCTTCCACTAGATCCTAAATTTGCTCCTCCCGCCTCCTTACTGTATCAAGATCTTCATTCTCTGTACCCATCATCAGAAACTTTGCTTCATAAATCCTTAGCAAATCTTCAACCTTCACTAACCTGCCAAGTAGCCCTCCTTTCATAATTCCTTCCTCAATTAAACCATTAACATTTTTGTCAGTTGCTGATAGTAGGTCCAGTGAAGTTTGCCTTTATGATGATCTCCACTTTAATAAAATGCTCTCAAAAAGGTTCCTCACCTGGGGCCAGATTCGTGAAGCAGTTATGCAAGTACTTACGAACATGTACATCTTTCCTCAATCCTTGACAATTTTGGTTGCATTTATTAAACAGTTTACAAACATGAAAACTTCCAAATTAACTGTTGTTATTGTTATAAACAGCATCTTGCTGCTTCGGAACTCATTAACTGTTTAATAATTGTAAACAAAGGCACCAAAGATTGAAAAAAGATGTACAAGTTCGTAAGTGCTTGTGTAACTGCTTCGTGAATCTGACCCCTGTGCCCTAGGCCAATGACTGACATTCCCCAGGATGCAACCCACAACAGTTGTCAAACTCTCAGGTATCTATTTACTGCTAGGTGAACAGATGCAACAGATGAAAGGGAACATGCCCAAATGTTTCTGTTCTGCCTTGAAAATCAATCCTGGTGACCATTCGGTTATGAACAGACTGCACTGACCACTATCGTACAGGTATGTAATTACCTAAGTGCAGTTACAGGATGAGAGCTATGCTCGTGGTGTCCTGTCTTCCCAGTACTCTTTGTCATAAAACGCTTATAATAAAAACCTAGACTGACAGGAGCAATGAAACTCCTTGATAAGTCCAGTACTCTGACCAAATGGCTACTAGACTGTTAGTATGTGATCCGTTCGCTGTGTATTGTTCACGAGTGTATGGAATTTTTTACTAACAGGCTTATGGTCGGTTCATGGTGAATTGCTCTTGAGTATACAGTAGTTTGACTGCAGGCAGGTAATTACTAAGTGTAGTTACAGGATGAGCACTACACTCAGAGTACTGGGAAGGCGGGACACCATATCATATAATTACTCATAGTGAAATACTACAGTTGGCTTCATTCTTGACTCAAAATCAGGATTCCTTGGGTTCAATTTCCAGATGGGACAGAAATGGATGGACTTCTTTCCTTTTACCTAATGGTTCCATCCATGCTTCATCCTCCATCAAACCCTCATAATGCTTTATATATACAAAATTTTTTGTATTAAACATCCATTTGTTAAACAGTTTTATACCCTCCTTTTGTTGTTGCAGTTGACGAAGAATGAAGTACGGGTTTTATCCATGCTTCAACATCCAAATATAATAGAATATTATGACAATTACTTGGAAAACAACACCATGATGATTGTAATGGAGTACGCACCTGGAGGCAACCTCTATGATTATCTTCGCTCGCGTGGGGAAGGCAACTTTCTTCAAGAGGAGGTTGGTAAGGGTCGATTAGATAGTCAATTTATATTGACATTATGTTGCAAGATAAGTGATTTCTTAATTGTATCACAGTAAAATAAACTATAGTTACAGGGAGCCACCAAAGAGACCCATCAGAAAATGGTTTCATTGCATTAAATGCTTGATTTTGTTTATTGCAGGATGTATTACATTTATTTTGTCAGCTGGTCCTTGGCATGCAGCACATTCATGAGAGTAACATTCTTCATCGTGACATCAAGTCAAACAACATTCTTCTAGATCGTTCTCATTGCATTGTTAAAATTGGAGATTTTGGGATTTCTAAGATTCTTAGCAGGTAGGATCTGTATGACTATTATTCTTGTATCACTAATTTAGTGTTGTACTCTGTATCATAAATTGACATCCATCCAAATTACACCCTATTCAAACAGAAATATGATTTCAGTTTTTATATTCATGGCATTTAAAAGATTAAATTCTGTTCATGGATTTTTTAGTTATAGGGAATGATTTAATGAGCATTTATCATATTGGTTTAGCAATTCAAAGATTACAAGTTTGATTCCCACTAAGAAAGCAGTGTTGTTTTGAACTCTGTTTAAGCTGCTTCCAAAGTAACCATGTCCCCAAACTGCTTGTAAAAAGCCAACTGGTTCACAAAAATCTGATAATTTGATTCATTTGTAATATATTTTGATGTTCTTAAAGTGATTTTATCTCATATATAGGCCTAGCTGATTAATAATTAGTTCAGAATTATTACTTATTTCTTTCAAATTGCAGCAAGAGCAAAGCACATACTGTTGTTGGTACCCCATGCTACCTTTCACCAGAGTTATGTCAAGAGAAACCTTACAATCAGAAGAGTGATATATGGGCATTAGGTTGTGTCCTGTACGAACTGCTGGCACTGAAACGTGCATTTGAGGCAGAGGTAAGCAAGTTAACATGAGATCCACCTCAAGTGTTAGCTGTCATGTTAGGATTTTGTTTCACTTCTTATCATAATGAATTCAGCTCTATTTGTTTAAATAATCTGACCCACGTCTAGAAAAACAATTGAAGTGATGAAATTTCAGTTTGTCTTGAACCCTCATCAAGTCATGACATGATGAAGGGTCCAGAATGGACTGAAATATCAGTATTTTCATCTCATTTTGGGTCCCGGTAGTACATTCGGGTTCGTTCTCGATGCACAATTGAGAATGCTGGGTTCGAGTCCCAGGTGGGACAGAATAGATGGGCCCATTTCCTTTCACCTAATGCTTCTGTTCACCAGCAGTGATTAGGTACTCAGGAATCAGTCAGCTTGCTGTGGGGTTGCATCCTGGGCGGGGTCAGTAATTCGGCCAGGGGTGGGGGAGAGCCTACCCTCAATAAAAGCCAAACGTGTGTGAATACACTCTTGCTTTCTGTTCCCCGACACAGTGAATTATTTCATGTGTGGCTTGGGTTATTTGTATCTGCCATGTTATTGTGACTTATTCTATAAATACAGTAACAGTACTTTCCAAATAAGAGTGCCTCCATGGGGTGACTATGGGACCTATTTAATTGACCTATAAGAACCCAGGCACAGATACTTCTTTAACAGAAATTAATTTTTATTGGTCTTTGTTGTTTCAGACATTGCCAGCTCTCATCATGAAAATAATGCGTGGTATATTTGCTCCCATCCACCCTCACTACAGCGCCGAGATGAGGTCTCTGGTGCACCTGCTCCTGCATATGGACCCAGCACAGCGCCCCAATATCCAGCAGGTCATAAGCCACCCATTGATATTTCCAACCTTATTTACACTCCATCGGGATCTTGGGATGGTTCGTTGTATTTCTAGGTGTGTATACATTTCCCCTACATAAGTGATCTCATTTGTTACATATTATTCTAAACTTTCTAGAACCATCATAATATGTTTTACAGTTGGAGTTTGAACTCCTCAGTGGGTTCCCAGAGCTTATGCACTGGTACCCAAGGGTCAGATTCACCAGATCCATTAATTTATCACTGCACAGAAAGTTGCTTTTCATTACGCTCGCTCTATTTCTTGTATACTGTATTCTCGGGACATATTGCCATGCTGTAGACTAGTCTATGATTTTAAGCATGGCATCAGTTACTCTGCTGTTTTGATGTCAAATCTACAGTATTAAATAGAGAATGATGCTTCCTCTCTTGATCCTGTTGTATAAGTGCCACATTATAATTAAAGTCTTCCAGTCATTTTCTCCATATGTATCTCTTGCTTATATCCCAGTGTTCTTGTTAAACACATCAACTTTGTAATTTTTTACTTCATTTTCCAGGGATTCAAACCCAGAATTCTCGATTGCGAGTCGACAACAAACATAATTGTTTCTGTCTATTCTTGAGTATATTGTATATAATAAATTATTATTATTATTATTATTATTATTATTATTATTATTATTATTATTATTATTATTATTATTATCTTATCAAGTCATGACATTGCAATTGGGAATCAATATAAGGCATGAGGTAAGGTGAGAGGAAAAAAGAGGTGAGGGGTAAGGGGTAAGTTAGAACTCCACTAACTCCTCACCCCCATTTCCTCTCACCTTCCCTTGTACCTTATATGCACTCTTGCTATGTCATGACTTAATAAGCATCCTGGACGGACCAAAACATCATCACAACTTAGTAAGGGTCCTGGATGTACTATAACGTTGTCACTTTCATTCCTTTTTCACGTGGGTGGATGTGGTTATTTATAAGTCTGAATATAATCTCTCTTGTTCTTATGTATATAGGCCACTTCGCCTGTCTTCAGTTGGCACCCGAACTCGGTCATCACGTGGCAGTGAGGATTCTACAGACAAGGAGAGAACTGATATAGAAAAGAAGACTATAAGTGAAGAGATAAAATGTAGTGAGAAAAAGTTGCCCCAGTCCAGTGCTCAAGCAGCTTCTGTGTTCTGTTGGTCCCGTCTTGGCACTCCATTGAGGTAATCATTCTTTTCAGAATTATGTTATGTTTTCATCTTAGGGTTTTTTATTATAGAGAAGAACTAAAGCTACTATGTTATATGAGTGATATAGTGATCCAAAAGTGTTGGGTTAGGCCCAGTTGTAATAAAATTGCCAACCAGAAGTGCTATTTAATTATTAACCAATTAGTCTGTATTATGGTCTGTATCTTTAACTTTAACACCATGTTCCCTCTGAAAACTTTCAATCCTAAAGGAAGCAGTCACATGCAGACTCTTCACGCTTTGATATCTGATGTCTGTGTAAGTTTTTAGTGTGATTTGCTGCTCTTCTTGGATCTCTGGTTGATAAGTAATACTAATGCTATCACATTTATTCTGGCAATCTTTCTTGTCTCGGTAGTACAATCGGGTTCATTCTCAACGCACACTTGAGAGTTATGGGTTCGAATCCTGGGCAGGACAGAAATGGTTGGGCACATTTCCTTTCACCTAATGCCTTTGTTCACCTAGCAGTGAGTAGGTACTCAGGAGTTAGTACCCAATCCTGATCTTGACAACCAGTAGGCTCGAATGGGTCATAGAGGCCTGGTGTGAGTCGGTAAGGCTTGGTAGGCCCCAGTGTTATAGCTACAAGAAGCAACTGAGTAGTCCACCAGAAAAATGGCATTTCATTTCATTTAACAAGTGATTTTTTCTAAAGCTTAATTGTCTGTGGTTTAAAACCACATGAACTCACAAATGTTTCGACACATTTAATTTATACATTATTCCTAATGTTAATATTGGTACTGTCCACAGATTGTCTGTAGGCAATGCTGAAGGAGAAGTGGTGTGGGTAGCTGCTAGCAGAACTCATCGTGCTGGAGTCACAAGTGCAGGTCAGGTTGTGTTGTGGGAGAAGCAGGAACAAAAGTCTAAAGACATCAGAGGTGAGATAAGAGACCAGGAAGTAATCAGTAAGTTTATGAAAACCTAGATAACAAATAAAATTGTTTTTGAACATAAAATATTGATTGTCTAACTCCTACACTACTCCACTTGCTATCTGCAATATTCTCCAGAGTACAAATTGCCATATGCTATTGATCCTTATGCGTTTTCATTTTTTTTTTACCATGCACGCCCAATGTAGGTCTTTTAAATTGCTTTAAATTGATTAGCAGTTTAGGGGTTAATAAACTAGTCTGTCTACTACAAAGAACACTTTCATATTTTTACAGTTGCTGTCACTGAAAATGAGGACGAGTCTCCATATAAACCGACAATCTTGAGATCCCCAGCATCAGTAACAGTGGTGCAAGTGTCATGTGGGGATGGTTTCATAGCTTGCGTCACAGGTAAACAATGGAGGAATAGGGTACTATAGCACAGTGGTCTACATCCTCATTTCACAACTGAAGGACTCAGGTGGGACAAAAATGGTTGGGAACATTTACTGTCACCTATTGTCTCTGTTTACCTAGCAGTAAATAGATATGCAGGAGACAGGGAATTGTGGATTGCATTCATATCAGTAGTGCCGATATGGCCCGCTTAGACCTGTTTTTTCTTGAATGTTTCATGAAAATTATGTGATATTTGTACAGGTTATATATAATTATATTAATAATGGCTTAACAGGCGTATTATAAATTTTTCTGGGAAGGATGCCTCGGTAGCTTCCTCAAGCTTAACCCCAGTAGGCCCCAGTGTAGGCCCAGTACTGCTGATTTTTAACTAATTGCACCAACCTTTGAGACCCATCCTTGCCTACTGAAACCCAGAACCAAACTCTAGCTCACTCTACGAGGCAAGGGGAGCACGAGGATTTGTAGTTTCCACAGGAGGATCGGTGGTTTCCCTTTGACCCTATTTGGAGTTTAATTTGTAGTCCTATGGAGTTGTTGCTCTGTACGGACGTGTTTTCTTATTCCCCATCCCTGTATGAATTTAACACCTCCTCTGCTCAGCTGAGGGTGCATTTCCAGATCCTAGTTTATGGTGTGGATGTGTACACTCCCTTCTTACCCGGCGTGAGTTTCCCCAGCAGGTTTCTGTTGTTTTCTCTTCCTTCAGGTGCGGCTTAGTGAGACTTTGATTCCTGCTGCAAAACCAGTACTGTTCCATTGAATTGGACCCCATCCTCTTTTGAATACAGATTTTCTTCTGCTTCCTAGACATGAGATCCTGGCTTAATTATGGTTGGGTGACAGCCCTTTGTTTTCTTTGGGTAAGCAGCAACTTTGGCATTATACACAGGCATTTGAATGGAAGCAGGCTACCTAGGTTACAGTATTTGAAGTCTTTCTTGGGGCCCTTTTTGTGTTGCTGTCAACAGTACCCTGTTGCTTCTTGACCCATTAGATATTTGAAGTTTAGCTTGTGAATGAGATGGGTAGCTGGCTGGGAACCTAATTGACTTGAACGGCCGAATAAAAATTTGTTTGTTTGTCCACAATTGTTCGCTTTGTTTCCCTCATATAATTTTTTCTTCAAACTGTGGCTTGTTTTGTTTCCCTCTAAGCTTTTTGATGGGTACATTTAAAACTTTTGATTAGTTTTGGGTAGAACTTTGATCCCGAACTCCCTTTGCCTCGTAGAGAGAGAGCCAGAGTTCTCACTCTAGGTAGGTCAGTGTGGATCTCGGAACCAGCGCACTTCTTACGGCTTGGCTATACCAGTGCATAAACTCCAGGGAGCTGCTGAGTAGCCCCTCAGAAAAGGGCATTTTATTACAATCAACGTTGAATTTTTTGACAGATCGAGGTATTCTCTTAACCAGTGGGATAGGATCATCTGGCAGCCTAGGCCATGGAAATACCAGTGACGTTGCTCAGCTGAGGATAGTGGAGTCGCTGTTGGGTGTGTCTGTAAAACAGGTTGCCTGTGGGTCAGCACATGTGGTAGCTGTGTCGGTTGACCATCAGGTATATGCTTGGGGCTGCGGCAGTAATGGTAAATAACACTTTGCTTTTTATTAATCAGTTAAGGTAGTAGGTCAATGTAAGAATTATATCTTGAAGGTGTTCATCATTTCTCTGCAGACTAACTAAACTAATTTTCTAACTAGACACTCATCCGTACATATTTTTTATAGAAATTAAGGCCATAATGTTACTATTTCAAAATTTTATATGCTGTTACAAAAGTAGTTACAAAAATTTGCTTCTTCATCAATGTTTGTAAATCTAACATATATATAAGTTACTGTTTAAAATTATGCAACATTAAAACTGAAACCATTCATGTATTATTTCATTACGATTTTATAATTAAATGTAGGACGACTGGGCATAGGATCACGCATGACTCAGCTGTGGCCACAACATGTCGAGATCCAGTACTCGGAGCCGGAGGTGACGAGCATTGTGGCGGGGCATGACTGTTCCTTCCTAGTGACCACATCAGGAGTCCTTCTTGCCAGTGGCTCAAATAGGTTTGTATTGCATTTAGATCTTATAAGTCAAGGTTGAATGTAATGAAACACCCTTTGCTGGGAAGGCCTCCTCAGTAGCTCCCCAAGCTATAGAACAGAGGCTGAAAAGTTGAGAAATTGCACGACGCCTCTAAGACCTACCCGAGCCTACTGGCAGCCAGAAATAGAGCCTGACTCTACGAGGCAAAGGAAGCTCGAGGATCAGAAATCAAGCATAAACTAAGAAAACCTCACCAGAAAAATTAAACGCATCAGAAAAAAATGGCTTGAAATGAAATTAGTAACCCTTTGTAAAAACAAGGCAACCACAACTGTGGCTTCAATACCCTAGCTTTAATGCTACCAGATTGCAACACTAGTCACTTGGGCTGTTGTTAGCAAGCCATCTCATTCACTCGCCTGCTGCTCACCCTGTAATACACCCGGTGTTTATCCAATGGGATTGACTGCTTTGTTTTCCTCAGGGTTACTAATTACCTTTCAAGCAGGTGTTAGTTTCGATATGCTTCTACTTTCTGGTGGAGTTTCTCGCAGTTTTGAGTTGATCTCTGCGCCCAAGCTCCTGTCATTCAAAGAGAGAGCTAGATTCTACTCTTGACTTCCAGTTGGCTCAGAGGCCTGCTACAATGCCTTAAGGCTTGGCACCCTCAGTGCTTAGGGTTGGGGAGCTACTGAAGGACTCGTCTGAACAAAGTGTTTCATGACATTTAATGCCTGATTTTGTATAATTTATTTTTGAATGTATTTCATATTGGTTCTTTATATTCAATAGCATTACTCAAGAAATAGTATGGTTGGATTTTTTCATGAGGAAGGCAGCATAAAATATCCCAGGATTAGGAATCGGTGTTAAATTTTTTATCCGAAGCTTAGCATATTACTGTGAGAAAATCAATTTGGGTCATGGAAGGAATTCAAACCAGCAACATGAGTAGTCCCAAGCACACTCCTTAAACCACTGAATCACAATACACTATAAATAATGTAAACAGGGAATCAGCTGAATCCACTAGGGATCTTGAGACATCCAGCTGATATTAAATCAAGTCTTTACACATTACCCATGTACACAAACATATTTATAGCTTTGATATTTTGTATGTATTACTAGTTTTAAAAACACATAAAAATTAATCTTTTTCTAGACTGAACAAATTGTGTGTGGATGAAACTGATCTTGCTGGATGTGAGACTCTAAAGCAAATAGAAGATGTGGCAACATTTGTGCCAGTGTGTTCTCGGCCTCTTGCAAACTCGGCCATCATCATGGTGGCAACAGGGCTCAACCATTCTCTGTTTGTGACAGGTAAGATTGGAATTTATATGGCTCTGGTGTGTAGACCTCCTGGAGTCTCTTTTGTTGAGTTCTTCACATACTTGTTTGTATCCAAGAGTGTTCCTCCTTGTCCCTGCAGTCTGATCACATGGTCTTGTAATTTTTCTTCCTGTATTTCTTCCATGCATTTTTTGTTTACGTGTTTCCTCCTTACACTGTTGAATAGTGGGTTTGTTCTCCTTTCATCCACTTTCCTCCTGAGAGGTACAAACTTTCCCATTGCATCTTTGCATTTCAGATGTTATTAGTTCCATCATTTCAATTGCTTACTTTCCTTCATGTTGTCACCTATAGAAAACTTCTGCGGTGTTTTGCTTGCCTCGCTGTGGCAGTGTCACCTGTTTTTTGTTTTTCTTTAGGCCCTTTAGTTTGATGTTGATTTTTATGAAGACAAGAATAAAGGAAACAGCAGAAGGCTTTTGACCCATATGAGGCAGTTTCTATCTATATCTAGCCAAACTTACTCATATGCTTGAATGACCAACCTATGCTTGAATGAATCTAGCAATTCCACATCAATTAGGCTGTCCAGTAATTTGTTCTATAAATTGATAACCATATTTTCAAATCAGTCTCTACCCAGGTCTTTCCTGAATTCTAAACTTCTCCAGTTTGTCTCCGTTGTTTCTAGTTCTGTTTTTGTGTTGACATATAGTATTTAAAACCTTACTTATATTTTTTGTTATACCTTGCTATTCATTTATAAACCTCAATCATATCATCCCGTACTCCTCAACTTTCCAAAGAATGCAAACTATTCTTCCCCAATTTCACCTTATAAAGGAGGTCTTCATTTCCCGGAACCAACACTGTCATCTCTCTCTGCATGCATTCAAGTGAACCCATGTCCACTCCATGACGTAGAAATCAATGCAGCAGTCGTTTGGATTGATTTCCATACCATGGAGTTTGAAAGGACTGAAATGTCATAATTTTTCCTTTCTTTTCATGTGTGTGTGGATTGTGTTTCAAAGTCTTCAGTCACGTTATTGTGACTTATTTTCTGCTTATATCTTGTATGTTTAACATTGACTTGTATTATTATAGATGCTGGAGAAGTATTTACATGTGGGAAGAATACTTATGGCCAGTTGGGTCACATTGGCTCACAGAACCCAAGGGTGCCTGCTCGGGTTATGGATCCTGTGGCCCGCACCCAGGTGACACATGTCGACTGTGGCGAAGATTTCTCCGTTGCTGTTACGCAAGGTAAGTCTTGTCTGTTGGTATTAAATATGACGAAATATTGATCCCATATGGTGTGGATTCCATCTTGTGGGCACAATATTTTGTCACAGATATATCGCATTCTTGTATTCATTTGTTGAATATATTTAAAGCTAAAAAATAAGTTTTTGCTTCATATTGATGGTTAGAGAATCTTACCTAGTAAGTCAGCTTCGTGTTGCTAATAAATTACTCCGAAGACTAGTATTGTGGCTGAGATCTACTGTGATCTTTCCAACTCAGTATGTAAAGACAATTTATTGTTAGATGAGAGGCTGTGTTGCTGAAGCAATGCATGCCATATTGATAAAGAGGTGGAAAATTTAATTAAAACTGTAGACAAGAATATTGCATCAAATCTCTTATCATTGCATTTTTCATTCATTCTTCTCCTTCATTTATTAGCTACTTTATTTGGTCCTTCCTTCCTTCCTTCCTTTCTAATTGAGTCTCACCACACATGTGATCCTGCCCCTCTACATGTTTGTGTCATCCTCTTCATTATGAACAACCTCTCAATTCCATCCATCTTTGACACATATACTCATCCTAGTTTCTTCATGGTATATTAGAATAATCTTGAATAATCAAGAACCTTCTTGAATAATCATTAACTCAAGTCTTTAGTTTCCTAAAGAGACTTTAGTCTCAAGTCTTTCATTTCCTACAGATATGTTATTATAAGCTTCACATGTACCTATCTAACCCTCACAGAAATTAACTTTTGACCTTTCTCGGAGGGCCCCCTTTACTAGCTCTGCAATTATGACTATATTTTCGTAATGGCTTGGCACTTTCTCCTGATAGTTCCCTTCCCTTCCGCAAGTTAAAATGCTGATAATGCCAAGTCTTGGGAAATTGCAACAGGTCTATGAGACCCACCTTTGCCTACTGGAAGCCAAGACTAGAATCAGGATCTCTCTATGAGGCAAAGAAACTAGTGGATCAGAAATCAACTCAAAACCAAGAAAAATACACCAGAAAGAATAGACTTATCAAAACAAGTGACTGAGGAGAATTAGAAACCCTGAGGTAAACTATTTAAATAATCGTTGCTGCCAGGTAAATACAATAACCTTGATGTGCCCAGTTGCCACCAGATGGCAGCTCAGGTCACCCAGGGTCTCGGCGAATCTGTCACCTCACCCGCTCTGGTCACTGTACTGGATGCAGCGCCATCCTCTACTGCACTCTTTCAATTCAGTGGTACTGGTTGTTCTTGGAACAATTGTTCCCATTGGAGCCATTGTTTTATTGTTTACCTTCTGTTTCATGATTGTGCTTTTGCCACCAAGATTGTGTTCCCTTAGCTATATATTGTACTTGCCAGAGTTAGCTTCTTTGACAGTCAGGATGTCCTTTGCACTTGGATGTCCATCCACTTGAATTCATCAGTACAGCATAGGCCTTCCTTCGTGCAGCATAACATTCAATAACTGATGAGCCAAGTGGTTGGGCACCATTCCCTCCCTCTTTCCAATCCCAGCTCCTAGTTCTCATATCCCTTCCAACTGACATTTTGGCTTAGTATTTTCTTCTCATAAGTGCTTTACCAACTCATGTCAGTCAGCACACATGGGTTCAGCTTTAGTTTGACTTTGATAATGATAAAAAAAAAGTCATAAATATTATATAAGTTTTGCATATTCTATCCATAGATGGTCGTATTTATTCGTGGGGTGGTAAAAAGGACCATAAGGTAGCAGTAGATGATCCAAGTAAACCCAAAATATTGGCGAGAGATCCAGTAGGAGAAAGTGCTCGTCCGAGGCTTGTGGACCTACGGCAGAATATCAAAGGGAATATTTCCATAGCTGCTGCAGACGACATTGTAATCATTTGCTATAAGGCATGAGGCTGTATTTACATAAGATATATTTCAGTACAAAGTTAATTTTTGTATGGTTATTTTGTCAACCAATGTTTGAAGAATAATTTTACTTAAATGAGAAGCACCATATATTATTAAATTCTAATGGTAATAAATTAGTGCACAAAAGTAGTGTATATAATTCCCATTGTTGGGGACAGGAAGCCCATATATATATACATACACACTTTTAGCTTGTATTGAGGTTGAATTACTGACCCTCCTCAGGAGGCATCCCCACAACAGTTACCTAACTCTCAGCTACCTATTTACAGCTAGGTGAGCAGAAGCATTGGGTAAAGGGAAACATGTCCATCCATTTCTGTCCCATCTGGGAATTGAACCCAAGGAATCCTGATTTTGAGTCAAGAATGAAGCCAACTGTAGTATTTCACTATGAGTAATTATATGATATGGTGTCCCGCCTTCTCAGTACTCTGAGTGTAGTGCTCATCCTGTAACTACACTTAGTAATTACCTGCCTGCAGTCAAACTACTGTATACTCAAGAGCAATTCACCATGAACCGACCATAAGCCTGTTAGTAAAAAATTCCATACACTCGTGAACAATATACAGTGAACGGACCACATTCCTGTAGCTAGTGGTCAGTGCAGTCTGTTCATAACCGAATGGTCACCAGGATTGATTCCCGAGGCAGGACAGAAACATTTGGGCATGTTTCCTTTCATCTGTTGCATCTGTTCACCTAGCAGTAAATAGATACCCGCGAGTTTGACAACTGTTGTGGGTTGCATCCTGGGGAAGGTCAGTCATTGGCCTAGGGCACAGGGGCCAGATTCACAAAGCAGTTACACAAGCACTTACAAACTTGTACATCTTTTCTCAATCTTTGGCGGCTTTGTTTATAATTATTAAACAGTTAATGAGCTCCGAAGCACCAGGATGCTGTTTATAGTCAATCCCAATCCCATCCAATTCCAATCAACAACAGTTGATTGGGAAGTTTCATGCTTGTAAACTGTTTAATAAATGTAACCAAAGCTATCAAAAATTGAGGAAAGTTATACACGTTCGTAAGTCTTACGTAACTGCTTCGTGAATCTGGCCCCAGGTGAGGAACCTTTTTGAGAGCGTGTGATTCAATTGGAGATCATCATAAAGGCAAACTTCGCTGGATCTACTATCAACAACTGACAAAAATTTCAAGTGTTTCCTTGAGGAAGAAATAATGAAAGGATGAAACCTTCACTGCTTGCCAGGTTAGTGAAGGTTGAAGATTTGCTAAGGATTTATGAAGCAAAGTTTCTAATGCTGGATACAGAGAATGAAGATCTTGATACAGTAAGGAGGCAGGAGGAGCAAATTTAGGATTTAGTGAAAGAAAATGATAGTAAAACAAAGGGCTATAAATTTGAAGAAGTTAACAGAAAGACAGCTATGCTTGGACAAAATCTCAGTGTAGCTCTACAAACTAGCCAAAACAAGGAGTTAGGCAAGGATAAGTTACAATTTTTTGGGGTAACTGAAGTGGAAGATGTTACTAAAGGATTGGAAAACTGTAAAGAGGAAAGGAAAGAAACATATGACCAAGTTGGTTGTAAAGGTGAAAGAAACAATTAAAGAAATATGTTTGGAAGTCAAAATTCGAAATGTGCAACAAAATATTGACATTAGGCAGGCAATTAGGAAAGAACAGGTTACCAGCAGTAAATTAGTACGAAACATTGTAGATAGAAGTAAGTCCATACAAATTTTTTGATGTCTGGAAAAGGAAATACCATCTAGGGTGGACAGAACAACAGAAGAGGGAAAAATCATTGAGAAAAATAGTAAGTTTAGGAGAAGGTCTCACAACAAATGAAAATGTCAGCGACTTTTCAAGGATAGACAAATATGTGAAGGGAAAGATTTGCTACTTAAGGATGATATTAAATGAAGTGAAACAAATGACAGAAGTCCTTAGGAATGGCAGGAAATTACGAAATGATAAAAGTGGGAAACTATACTCACCAAGTTGTACTTTCCCTAGTTATGCTTGTGGGGGTTGAGAGTAATTACACTTGCGGAGCAATTGTACTTAGGTAATTACACTTAGGTAACTACACTTAGGTAACTACACTTAGGTAATTACACCCACACACACAGGTGGCACGAGTGGGATGCGAACAAGGGGACACAGGTGGAGACTGAGTATCCAAATGAGTCACAAACACAGAAAGAACTTTTTTTAGTGTCAGAGTAGTTAACAAATGGAATGCATTAGGCAGTGATGTGGTGGAGGCTGACTTCATACACAGTTTCAAGTGTAGATATGATAGAGCCCAGTAGGCTCAGGAACCTGTACACCTGTTGATTGACGGTTGAGAGGCGGGACCAAAGAGCCAGAGCTCAACCCCCTCAAGCACAACTAGGCGAGTACACGCGTGCGCTCCAGTGTACCCGTCATATACCACACTATAGCTAAAGTGTACCACTGGTGTACCAACAGTGGTACAACCAATGTAACCACCGTAGTGTAACAGTGGTACACTACAGTGTACTACTGTAGCTACAGTTTACCATTTGTGTGCCACACTGTAACTACAGTGTACCGCTGGTGTACCACTAATTACTGTGTACCACTGGTACACAGTTACTAATACACCAGTTACTGGTATACCATGCTAGGTACAGTGTACCACTAGCTACTGTGTACCATTGATGTATCACTAGCTACAGTGTACCACACTGTACCTACAGTGTACCACTAGTGTAATACACTAGCTACAGTATACCACTGTGACATCCGCCTGGCAGAATGGGGGAGGTGCCAAGCGGATGCGACAGAGACCATAAGACCCAGAAGGTGGTGAGGGGAAAGTAGTCCCCCCCCCCCACACACCTCCCCCCCCCCGGAGTATAGTGAGGTAGGGAGAGTGAGGGGGGAGGGTGAGTGAGGGTGAGAACTAGTGGAAGGGAGGGAGGGAGCAAAGGTGACGGAAATATGGTAAGGGAGATAGTGAGATGGAAAGGATGTAGGAGGATTTGTGAGACCTAGAAGGAGGGAGGGAGGCAGAGGTGAGAGGAGGAGGAAGAGCAACGCAGAAAGTGGGACGTGACGGTAGGGAGAGAAGGGAGAGGGTGTAGAGAAGGAGAAAAAGCAAATAATATTGCCAGAGATATGTTTTTTATGGGTAAACGAGTAGCCGAGAGATGTGTAGGTGCTATATCGAGCAGGAGGGAGAGTATAGGTGGAGGGAGGGAGCATGAAGGTTGAGGGGCAGTAGAGAAGATAGTGGTAACAGCGATGATAGAGTGGGAAGGAAGGAGAGAGAGAGAGAAGGAGCAAGGAAGACGGAGGGAGACAGAAGGCCGATGAGAGAGAGAGAGGAGCGAGGGAAGGGAGGGAGGGAGGGTACGGGACTGCACCCTGCAACAGGCCAAGGAAAAACCTGCACCAACAACAGTAGGTGTGGCTTGTGGTAACGGTACTCTCCCCCCCCCCTCTCTCACTGTACCGGCTCACTGGTCCACCACCACTCTCGTTGTTGGCTCGTTACCACTCCTTGTGGCTCACTGGTCCACCACCACTCTCATTGTTGGCTCGTTACCACTCCTTGTGGCTCACTGGTCCACCTCTCATTGTTGGCACGTTACCACTCGTATAATGATATAGCAGTATATCGTGTACTAGGCCGGCGGCCTTCGTCATACTGGTACCTTCGTTAGGCCTGGGACACTGTGTACTCACTTACTTGTACCTGCAGGCCTGCAGGATCGAGCATTGACTCTTTGATCCCGCCTTTCTAGCCACCGGTTGTTTATAGCAATGACTCAGGTCCTATTTCCCTATCATATCTAGCTTTAAAGCTATGAGTAGGGTTTGCTTCCACAACCTGCTGCTTTAGTTCATTCCATTTCCCCATTACTCTCACGCTAAAAGAAAACTTTCTAACATCTCTGTGACTCATCTGAGTTTCCAGCTTGCACCTATGTTCCCTCGTCTCTCTGCAACCTGTTCAAATCCTCTTGGAGGATCCTATAATCCTCATCTGTCACAACTTATTAATTATACGTCATCCGCGAACATCGACATATTACACACCGAACGTCGAACACCTGTAGACATGTCATTTACGTATATTAGAAATAGAACTGGGCCCAGCACCGATCCTTGAGGTACTCCACTCGTTACTGTTCGCCAGTCTGACTTCTCGACCCTTACCATACTCTCTGGTATTTGCATTAGAAGTTTTGTATGGAGTTAGCTTCACCGGCTTCTAGGCCTGACCTGTTCCCACTTGTTGACAACTCTGACAGTGAAGAGTTCTTTCTCATGTCTCTCTGACCCATTTTTGTTTCTAGTTCCATCTATTTCCGTTTGTTCTGCTGTTCCTGTCTTAGAACAGTGCTGCTTTGTGTGCTTTGTCATTTTTCCTTAAAATCTTACGTGTTGTTATCATGTCCTGCTATATCTTCTTTCCTCCAGTGTGGTAAAGTCCTGTTCCCTCAGTCTTTCCTCATAGCTCAATCCCTTCAGCTCCGGAACGAGCCTCGTTATATATCTTTGGACCTTTACTAGTTTCCCCTGTTCTTTTTAGCTCAGGGTTCCATGGCGGAGAGGCATGTTCAAGACTGGGCCTCTCCTTGAATGTGTATAGTGCCCAGAAGCTCCTGTTGCTCAAGTTTGTGAAGGACACGCGGACGTTGGTCAGTATGGCATATGCTGGTGGGGTTTTTCTGCTAATGTGGGGCTTCTGGCATTAGATTTGGAGTTATGTCTACCTTCCCCCCCCCTGGATTTTCTCCTTTTCAGATGTAAGATTCTGCATTTGGTTGGATTAAACTTGTGCAGCCATTTTTCAGAGCACTTGTGGAGTGTCTAAATCCGTTTGCAATGCATCTATCTCTGTCCTGACTATTCTCGTTAGGTTTACATACATGAATATGAAGCAGCTAGTTGTTCCGTCAACTAGCTGCTTCATACGTCAACGTTAACATACGTCAACGACCATCAGGTCGTTGACGTATGTTAGAAATAGGATGGGCCCAAGAGCCGACCCTTGTGGTACCCCAATCATTGCCTCTCTCCACTCTGATTTATGTACCTACCTTCAAAAGAGTGTCACTTGTTTAGTTAGAGGAACAATATGGCTCAGTTGGTGTAGCGACTATGTGGCTGCCTCC